GACACAATGGTTGAAGAAGCCATTATTCATGGCCTCTGTGCAGCCAGGTTCCTAGAGCCAGGGAGGCAAAGGCTGCCTTGAGGAGGTTGAAAGATGAGCAGATGCAAAAGAGATGGACTCAACAGCTGCCTTAGTCACCTTCCTGTGGCTGTGATAAAGCACCATGCTAAGACAACCTGTGGGAGAAGGAGTGTATGTTGATTGCTGGTTCCAGGGGGACAACAGTCCATCTTATGGTGGTGAGGCAACAAGCAGCAGGCGTGGGAGCCAGATCTGGAAGCGGAGACTTCATACCCTCCACTGCAAGTAGGAAGCAGAGAGAGAAAACTAATAATAGAGAGATACTCTATAGTATTAAAACCCGATCGTAATGACATGCTTCCTCTTGGAAGGCCACACCTCCTAAATAAACCACCCCAAACAGCACCACCAACTGGGAACCAAGTCTATGGGGACAATTCTTATTCAAATCACCTTAGCAGATGTTAGTAACTCTCAAGAAACCTGAAGAGAAAGTCATATAGGAAGAGCTAGGTAGGGGATGCACATGTATATGTATATATAGGATGCATATGTGTGTGTATTAAGGTAGGAATGCATATGTAGGAGAGGGCTTATAGTCTCTTTTATGAAAGTTTCAATGGCAATGAAAAACAGCCAATAGGGAACTGATGGCACTGTAGGGGCTACAGGTACCTAAGAAAGCTGTAAATAGAACAAACAGAGGTCAACTTTGTTCATTCCTGTAGGACTTTGAATAATGTCACTTTGGAAGGACAGAAAAATTCAGGAGTCTACCTTTGAGTCAGGAGCTGCATCAAGAGTGGTCCACAAGAACTCTGTCCTTGGGTCTATCATCCATCCATAGCTTGTGTTAGCCACCAAGTTTTCCCCCTCATTTTATAAGAATAGAATCAATTGTTGTGTCTCACTAATGTCCAACTGATGTCAAGTTCTATGAGAACTTCCAGTCTCGTGTAAATAGTGATAGATGTGGTTTTCCAGCCTCCACATATGGCAACTGAAATAGAGGCAGCCCTTATCCCCCAGAGCATGGCAACAAGAAACAGATGGCATGGAGGCATAGGTCCACCACCACCACCCTGCAAGGACACAGTATTATGAGAACATGATGGTTTTAATAAGAGTTTTCATTGGATATGAGCTTGCACTCTACTGTTTCTGGATTATGGCAATACACACATATGCATATATATGTATGTTTTGTGTCAGATGGAATCAAAGTGCTTACAGAATAAATAGATGCAAGCTCCCATCCCTAACCCAGAAACTATCTTCAAGTGATAATCACTTGCAAACAAAAAATTAGTTTCCTCCAACAGTCTCACTGGGGATACAAACAACTCTTAAGGGTAGGCCCCTTGCCCAGCAGAAAAAGGCCAACAAAAATGAACTCAATGATGCCTTTGGAGTTCTTGGTCTTGTAATGTTTTGTCAGGGCCTTACTTCTTTTTCTTAACCTTACAGGTCCTTTGAGTATATATTTTGGCTTCCAATTTTGTGGATTTTTAAATGGGATTTTTTGTGAGTACAAATGCATTTGTCTCTGCATCTCAATGTTTCTTTTTATCCTCCCCCTTTGGCTCTCTTTTTTGTTTGTTTATTTTGCCCTATTCCAGTTTGTTTGTTTTTTATTGTATCTGATTTTATTTTATTCTTTAGATGTCTGTTTTCTAACAAGAGACAAAAAGGGTGTGGATTCAGATGGGAGGAAATGTGGGGGAAAGCTCAAAGGAATTGATGAAGGGAAAACTAAACAGAGTATAGTGTATGAAAAAAATCTATTTTCAATGAAAGAAAAGCTGTGTGTGTGTATGTATGTGTTAGTGTGTGTGTGTGAGTGTGTATGTGCACACGTGTGTGTACTCAGGCACACTTGTGCCACAGCCCATGTGTGGTGGTCAAGGAACAACCTCGGGTGTTCTTTGCTTCTATCTTTGAGGCAACATCTTGTGTTCACCATGAGTAGACCATGCTAACTGTCCTGCAAACTTCAGGGAAACCTCGTCTCTACCTCCCAACTCACTATAGGAGCACTGTGGTTGTACACATAGGTGCTGGGGATTTGAACTCAGGTCCTTATGCTTGCACAGCAAATGCTTTACTTACTGAGCTATATCCTAGCTCTGAAGTATCTTTAATTACTTTATTTTGCTCGCCCTCCCTCCCTCCCTCTATCCCTCCCCCTCTCTGTTTCTGCGTGTGTGTGTGAGAGTGAGTGCACACACATATGCTCACATGCACCGGAGTGCATGTATATATACCACTATGTGCAGTGAGCTCAGAGGTTTGAAGAGTTACTGGCAGTTGTGAAATACCCTGTGGTTGCTTGTGAAATATGCCATGGGTGCTGGAAACTGAGCCCCAGTCTTCTGCAAGAGCAGAAAGTACTCTTAACTGCTTAGACATCTCCTCAGAGCTCCAGAGCATTTTTGATCTAGCATGTTCCCTTCCTTCTATTGTATGTTTCCTCTGTGTTACTGAAGGAAGCAGGTAGTATGTGTAATAAAGTTTTCTATATTCTGGATGTTGATGAGTGCGTCCCGATGGTGTCATTGCGTGTGTTTGTCTATGGTTACATTTCCTCTGACCTGGTAGACACAAAGACTTGACCAAATTTACATACAATTATTTGGCCAGCTACTTTATGAGTGATGGAGGCACATAATAGCTGGTGCTTTTAAAAATGTTTGGTGAAAACATCTTCATTTTTAACCTCCAGGTAGCAATGCAATAAAAATCAAGATTGTGGGAGAATTGAATAAAGCATCCCATTTTTGACTCCCAGTTTACCCCTTTCATTCAAGTAGAAGCTACTAGCGAGGTCCATGACCAGTGAGTGCCTGGCATCTGTATGTCTCCATCCTTCAATGCTGGGGTTGATGGAACATGTCCCCATGCGTAGCTTTTTATGTGGGTGCTGGGAATTCAAACCCAGGTCCTCAGGCCTGAAGGACTAGTCCTCTCATTGGCTGAACTATCTCCCCTTGGCCCCCTTTCCTTCTTGATTATCTTTTCCTCATAGTAACTCAGAGAGTTTCTGCCCTCACAGTAGAACCCTACTGTAGTACAGTATTACCAGGTTTTTACTTCATTCATTCATTGAGAAACTTATCCAGCATGTTTTATCATACTCTTTCAATCTCAAACTCCTGCTATATCCTCCTGTCCATTCTCACATAATTTCATGTTCTTTCTCTCTCTTAAAAAAGGGTGGTGGTGGGGAAGTCTGATTTGCATTGGATTACTGCTACTGAGCATGGGCTGCTGTGCAGTGTAGTGGATATTCCCAGTGTCAGTTCACTGAAGAAAGCTGATTTTCCCTCTCCCTCCAGCTGAGACTTGCGAATAGCTCCTTGGCTGGCAGGGACTCTGTACCCACTTCCCCTCTGTGCCTGGATTTTGTCTGGCTTGAAACTGTACAGGTCAATCTCTGTAACTTCCCACGTGTTCCTGCCCCATTGTGTCTGGAAAATACTGTTTCCCTAGGATAATCCACTACCTCTGGCTCTCCCAGTCCTTCCGTTCCGTCTTCCTCACTGCTTTTGACTCTCACGATCTTTCCATTCCGTCTTCCTCACCACCTCTGGCTCTCACAATCTCTCTGTTCCCTCTTCCTCACAGAGCCCTGAGCCCTGAGAACAGGAGTGGGATAAAAGCATCCCAACCAGGGTGAGCGCTCTGAAGTTTCTCATTCTCTATGTGCTGTCCAGTTGTGGGTCTCCACGTTAGTTCCCATCTCCTGTAAGAAACCCTCTGATGAGGTTTCACTGATGAGGCAATATGTCATTGCTCAGTTAGCAGAATGCTTGTAGTGGGTCTTCCCCTGGAGTGCATGACTTATCTGGTCTCGGGTTCCATCTCCAGAGTTTAACCTCCTTCCCCTCCTCATACAGCTCTGGACCTGTGGATGTTTTAGTTTCTGTGCCCTCTGCCTATGCTCTTCTCCATACACACTCACAAACATTGTAAAGCAAGTGCCAGGTTTTCTTGTTTAGCTCCCTGTGTCCTATAAAACACTTTTGCTTGATAGAAAGCTGAATTATTCAAACTTTGCTCAACCAAGCTTATGGGTTTGAATTAAATAGAAGCAACCCATTCAACTTCTTTCTTATGGCTCTTTATTTTGTTTCTTAAAATGCTGAAATATTTGTCTTTAGCTAAGCCATCGGAAGACTCTAACAGAGTAACTGGCACCTGAGCAACAATGGCATTTATTGATTTCTGTAAGGTAGACACCAACTGAGAAGAATGATGTGACAAGCTCAGAAAGCACTCAGTCTGCCAACCTACGTACTATGGGTTTGCTTTTCAGTAATCATTTCAACAACCATGAACTGCTTTCTGGCAGTACTAGTAATTATTCATATGGAAAAGTACATATGATGAGGTGCCATTTGCACAACCAAGGGCCATGTACCAGATGATGCAACATACTCTGTTTTATGAGCGGTCCCATCAACTTCTTGGTCTGAGTCTCAGATGTGTAACTTTCGCAGTCAGCCCTACACATAGCAAACCTTAGGCAGTCTGGCTGATTTAATCACATTGATTTGGCGTCTCTGAAATATGTTTCAGGAAGCAATATGAAAGAATTGGCCATCAATTCATTCCCTTTATTTAGTGCTTTTAAGCTAATGCAGTGATGTGTGCAATAACCAGTTTCCCGTTCTTTCAACATAGTGAAAAATTGTACCATTGTGAAAGTTTAAATGCTTAAGTCCTTTGCTATTTATTTTATTTGAAATCCAGCATATTATTATATATCTTCAGAACTCTAACTGCCTTCTTCTTCTAACCCTTCAATTAAATCCCACAACGCAAACCTCTTGGCACTAGACCCGCCTTTCATGTTTATTCAGCAGAGCCCGAATCTTGAAAACGTGTTGAAGTTTGGGGTTTTCTGGTGAGGCTGACATCACACTGACCACGGCTGTGATTGGCTGCTGGAAGGCAGAGAGAGTTTATAGCCAGCAAGAGCAAGTGAATGGGTGAGTGACAGCAGAGGGAACAATCCGTGCCACTCACTCTAGCCAGGACTGCCGAGGGGTAAGACACCAGACTTCCCTACCTCCCAGCCAGGCACCTCAGACTTACGTGTGTGGATTTGTCTTGGAATTTTTTAATTGAAACGTGGGTCTTATGTCACTGTGCACAATGACTGTGATTAAGCTTTTGTTTGCTGTGAATGGGACCTCTGTGTTTAGCTTCTTTCCAAGGACCAGGCTTCTTAACCTAAGCAAGCAAGTAAACTGCTCAGATTGGGAACATGAACTAGAAAATGATGCGTCTTCTTCTCTGTTTCTACATATCCTGGCCAACTGTTTTTCTCATGCTGATGTATTCAGGGCAACCTAACTGCAATGTTATTCACTTTTGTAAATTGCCTAGATATATGCATTTTCCATAAGTTATACCTGATCTGTGCTTCAGTGATACACAGTATCTTTTCAATAGGTTCTGTATTAAATTTCAAAGTGTTTGTATCCTATAGCTCTAAAATCAGTATGGAAGTGTATGCTACTAGAGAAGCAAACGATTTTTGCCCTTATATGTAATTGTAATTTAAGAGTGTTTGAGTTTAAGTTTGAGTTTAAGAGTGTAAGAGTCCAGTGAGCAGTGGCCACTACAAAAGTCTCTGCTGTTTGATGAATCAAAAAGTAATTAAGATGAGATTGACATGGGCATCACTTGTTTTGATATATGAAATATTATCATCTCTGCCATGCTTTCATTTTGGTTAGGTCATGATTTCCTGTGAGAAACTTTTCATATCACAGCTGTGCCTACAGTTCTGTGTATTTAAGTTTTAAGTTCTTTGGATATTATGAATATCACACTTTCTTGAAGCTATAAAGCAAAGTTCCTACTCATCCTCATCTTCCTTCTCCTCCTTTCTCTTCCTCGACTCCTCCTTCATTGCTATTGTTTTTGTTTTATTTTTAATAACAGAATCTCATGTAGCTCAGGATTACTTAGAATTTACTATGTATCCAAGGATGTCCTTGAACTCCTGTTTCTCCTATATCCATCTCCTAAGTGTATCACCCAGACTGGCTCATCAATCTTCTTAAACAGGTGACCTGTCCTCACAGACTGTAAGTTTGTTAAACTATCTCTGGGTGTCTCCCTTTGTCTCTCTCCCCTGCCCACTTCCTCCTTTTTTTCCTCCTCTTTTGTTTGCACACGAACAAATATGAATGATTCCAAGGCCCATGCTGAAAAGAGCTGTGGAAAAGGTGTGTACACACCAAGGCAAAATTCCCCCACCAGCCGTGTGCCTGGAGCCTTACTCCGCATCATGTTTATCTTCGTATCTAATACTCGGTATGGCTGTAGTAAATGCTAATAATGAGGTAAATCTCCGCACAGAATACAATATATGACGTGGATTTCACACATTTTAAGCATTTGATTACAAAATGTATTTGGAGAAATTGTCATTCCCATTTTGTCACCACATTGCCACCATGTATGAAGCAACTCTCATCATCCGTGAGCAAGCAGGTGTTAGGATCTCAGCTAAGTCTGTTCAACTTCTAGAGCATAGAGCTAAAATAGAATTTTAGGGTAACGCTTCGCTGTCTGCTTCTATTTATGATGAAGTCATGTTGAAGGGGGAGTTGTTGCTGCAAAACCTAGGATTGCTCCAGACTACCCACGTGCTAGCAGCTGCATCTTTGACATTTCTATAGAGAATCTGTACCTACCACAGTACTCCACACTGAGATACCACAGTGCTCCACACTATAAGATGTGGGAACTTAAATGGAGCTGGTGAAACCTGATTCCAGGAGGTTTATCCTGTTCTTCCAGATGAAACTGCAAAGAGCTCTTGAGATTGTCAAGAGCTATTTCTCACATGATAGCATGTCATATGATATGAGGTGTTTCTCTCCTTTCTCTCTTCCCTTTTCCTCCTCCCTTCCTGCCTCCCTGCCTGCCTCCCTGCCTCCCTCCCTTCCCTCCCTTCTTCTCTCCCTCCCTCCCTCCCTCCCTCCCTCTGTGTTTCTCTTTCTCTCTTTCTCTTCCTCTCCCCTATCTACTTTTGTCTCCCTCCCTCTCTCCCTCCCTCCCTGCCTCCCTCCCTCCCTTCCCTCCCTCCCTCTCTCCCTCCCTCTCTTCCTCCCTCCCTTCCTCTCTCCCTCTCTCCCTCTTTCTTCTAAGTCCCAAACCAACTATGAAGTATTCATGGGGGAAAAGGCCCCTACTGTCTATTTTAAGAATGAACTTTTAGTTCAAAAGCATACACAGAAGTTGGAAACTTCTTGTAGTTCACCATGTAAACAAACCATTTCAACACATTTGAGCTCTGCTTGATTTTTAACCATTAGCAGCTGAGTAGGACACACAGCTACTCTGACAGGACAGCTGGTGTGGCTGACACTCCCTTGTCAGTGATATGTGGACATTCCTTCACCCCCTGTGTGAAGCATAGGGTTATTTAGATCCTGATGCAGGGGTCCAGTGACCCTCCACTGACAAATCACAGAAGAATGGGTGAATCATATATAGAGTTCAGGACTGTATAGAGACAGCTACAACACAAGTGGAAAATAAACATATTGGGGATCAAACACAGGTCCTCACGTGTGCCAGGCAAGCACTTATATTTCTCCAGTCAGAAACTCACTTACACTTAGTTAAAGTGAGAATGAGACAAATTGCCATCAATTGAATTCTTTATGGGCAAATGAGCCATGCCCTTTGTTTTGATATCTGTTAACTGTATCCCTTCTTGGATTACAGAAATCATTGCAAAATGAAGACGGCTTTGATTCTGCTCAGCATTTTGGGAATGGCTTGTGCTTTCTCAGTAAGTTCATTGTGGAAAAACCTGTACTTTTGGTAGTTGCACTTTTATGTAAATGGGGTAGGTAACGATAAAATGTTCTTTTGGACAGATGAAAAATTTCCACCGCAGGGTGAAAGCTGAGGACTCTGAGGACAATGGGGTAAGTGATTTCAGAAAATTTCTCTGTTCTTCACTTATTCTAACATTCTGCGTGGCATACATGATGCTGACATTCATCTTATCTGCGCAGGTCTTTAAATACCGGCCACGCTATTTTCTCTACAAGCATGCCTACTTCTATCCTTCTCTAAAGCGGTTTTCAGTCCAGGTGAGTGTGAAGCTTAATTTCCTTTCCACTTGTGGTGCGTTTATTACTGGGATTAAATTTAACACTCAAACCTCTGAATCCACTCTCCATTCACTCAGATCCCTCCTTGCTAAGGAAACTTGAATATATTAGAACAAAACTTGAGTTCTCTTCCAACACAAGAGACAAAGCACACAGTCAAAGCACTGGGGTAATAGAAAGAAGAGCCCTGATGTCTTGAGTTCAAGGGTTCAGCTAATCTGCTGACAACAGTGAACGATTTTGTCAGCTACCAACAATGGAGCTGGTGATAAGATCACTAATTGTCATTATGGTTGGTTTAGGACTGTCTCCCAGTTGTTCACGTGAGACATTTCAGCATCCCGAGTCTTGAAAAACTGAGTTCATAAGCACCTGGGTCTTCAGATAACCAATAGCCTTAGTAACTCACTGTCAGCGATGATGATGTCTGGAACCCTGTTAGGTGGCAGAACTGTGGGTCACACATGGAACACAATTATAACACCGCCTGGCCCAAGCACTGCAGAGGAAAGACAAACTTGTGAAATGTAGGAAACCTGAGAGGGAAAAAAAATAAGTAAAATTTGTAAACAAGAAGGAAAAATGACTAAAGCTAAAAATGAGACATCCCATTTTTGCTGGGTTATTTGTGAAACAGGCCTTTGGATCCTGGGGGTGTGGCACTGGTTCTAAATACACACAAGGCTGGCGTGACACTATTTTTGTGACTGTACAGTTTGGCTTCAGAGCATCAATTATGCACCATTTGACCCAGGGCTCCCAAGGCACTGAAAGCAGCAGGTTGCTTCAAACGCCCCAAGTCTCATCACATGTCGGGCTGACCCCTGCCCAGCTCACACAATGCTGGGAAGTCATAGCCCTCAAGTATTTCTAGCACCATTATAATTATAGGGAACTTGTGTGGCCACAGAAATGCGAGCACGGATGATACAAGAGTTGTGGGTTTTCAGAATTGTCTTCCTTTCTTTGGTTCACCTCAGGCCCAGAAATAAACAGGGTCCATTTGGAAACTTGCTCCCTTTCTTTCTAAAACAGAAATGAGATAAATTCTAGTTCTTAAGTAGCTTGCCAACTTTCTGAAATATCTAATGCTTAGATACAGCCATTCCCACCTAGACATGTGTGATCTAACTAAAAAGTCCATAGTATACTAATATTGGTAAAGTTACAGTTTTTTGCTATTGATAGACTCAAAGTCCACAGAGGTCAAATATGCTTTTATCACAAGCTACATACATAGGGGCTTGATAAATTTAAGTAGAACTTGTAAGGCAGTTGTTTTAAAGTAAAACAAAAAAAAAACAGCTCCAAACACAACTTTCTGAGACATTTGTGACAAGCTCCAGTTTTTACAAAGTTTGATGTCTCTTATCTTATGTCAACATCCAATTATTATCCAAAGTTGTCATCCTGACCTCGTGAGTTATATTTTATTGACTTCAAAAATTCATGTTTTAGTCATCGAGTCTGTTTATGGGCACTCATCCATAAAATAGCAGCTTGCAAACAATGGGTTGCAAAGTCACCAGCACATCTTCTATATATTGTGTCTATGCAGAGCTACAGAAACAGAAGTGTGAATTAGCTTAATTAATATCCCAAGCTGTTTTAATGAAAAATTACATTTTATGCTTAAGATGATATTTGGTTAGTGTACCAACTTGTGGCCAGCAAGATTGAATTTTATTTCTTTTACCATATTCAGCTAGCATACAAATGTGGGTTTTCAGAATTGCCTTCCATTATGACACCTGTTCCTTTGTCTCTTACCTACCCATCATCTCTCTTGTGTCTATACCAATGTGTGAAAGGCCCTGGAAGAATCAGTAAGACTTTGTGATAAATTGGTAATAACTAAAAGAAAGGAGAGTGATTCAAAACAATAAAAATAGACTACAAACCTTTAGGGTGTTCCCTGAAGCTCTTACATGGTTCTTTTTTTTTTTTTCACAAATATCAACAGCAGTGTTCTACATTTTTTTTATCATTTTTTATTTTAATTTTAAATAGCTTGTTTTACATGTCAATCCCAGTTCCCTCTCCCTCCCATCCTCCCGCACTCCCCTTCCCCCCCTCCCTCCCACCCTATTGCCAAATCCTTCGACATAGGGGATATCTAGAGTCTGTCATTTTACTCTTGGTAGGGTCCAGGCACTTCCCTAAGAGTCCAGGCTGAGAGAGCATTCCTCTTTGTGCTATAGGCACACGATGACTGTTTGTATTCCAGGGATAGACACTGATCCACAGCTCAGGGCCCCATAGGTTGCCCAGGCCTTCTCACTGACACTCACATTTGGGGTGTCCAGATCAGTCCCATGCTGGCCTCCCCACTGTCTCATGGGGGAACAGGAACTTACATGGTTCTTAACACACCCACGGTAGCATGTTAGTGAGTTGGGGAGGAAATCAGAGCGAGGGAAGCGTGAAGAACTCTTAACACACTCCCAGCTGAGAAAGACAGCTCTGCTTAGATAAATATATGATCCTCTATATTCGGGTTAATGAGTAGAAATAGCTCAAATATGATTTGTCCCCCCCCCCCGGTGTGGAACAGCACAACTACTATGTGACGGCAGTGTAGGGAGGATCTAATTATTCTTTTTCCACCCAAAGTTATTGTTGGCCCAAGGCAGCAAGCATTCCCTTTCCTTGGCTGGGTGACAAGGCCACCTGGAGAATGAGGCCAGCAGTGGCTGCCATGAGCATGATAGGAATGAGTCTTCTCTACAGCCTCATTGCTAACCCAGAAGTTACAGGACCTTCCAAGCCATGTTCTCCCAGGACAGGATGTTTAGCTGATCCTCACAATCAAAGCTGACACTGATAGGCCGGAAATGGAAGGCCCTGAAGCTAGGTGCTCATGGATCCCCGAGGCCATGGGAGCTGGTGGGAAAGGTGAAGGGAGATTTCCTTTGGGTTTTCTTTGGCAGAAAGATCAGAATCTCCTGTCTTGGCTTAGAAGTTCTGATGCATGCTTAGACTTACATGTAATTAAAAAATAAAAAGAAGAAAGCTCAGAATTAGGATATGTTGAATGTGTGGAGCATTTGCCTTGAGTTTGATCCACAGCACTGTAAGAATATAACAAAACAATATAAGGGCAACAGCAATGAAGACCCCAGGGAAGCTCATTGGCTCCTGTTTTATATGTAGGCTCCTTGGTTTACTTTATTGTCACCCCGTCAAATCGTAAGTGCTTTTACATCTCTTATCTAAATTAGCTGTATATATGTATACATATATATATCAACTAACAAAATTTTAAAATTAGTTTAAATTAAGTTGAGAATCTAAAAATACAAATTTAATTTCTCAGTCAAGTTACAATTTATGTTATAGTATTTAAGAGAATTATCAAATAACAGTTCACACTTTATAGTAAGCTACATCATTACCACCTATATTTCGTCAGAAAATAAGACCATGAAATCTGTGTCTTACTCTGAGTCATGCTTAGAAATGGTTGGTAGAATCTCCCTTTTTGAGTGGTTCCTTCTTGGAAAAATGCACTCAGTTGTTCATTCCTTCAGAAGTAAACAGTTTGTGATTTGTTGTTCCAGCTTTCTCATAGGATGTAATATTTCAGCATATCGTCTATGTTTGGGAGGTTGAGGGTGAGCAACCTCATCCATACGTTGTTCATTATACAACAGCTGTTTGTCTGCACTCATTTCGCATATGCCCAAGTGTACCCACATCCTTCTCACTTTAGCTTGACACTCTTGTGTTGATAAACCAACCAAGTCGAGAATACTAATGCCTGTAAGTAAATGTCTCTGTGTGTTACATTTTAATCATCAGGAAATTTCAATTGTTGCAGACTATATATTTATGCTTCATATGGGTATATAATGCACAAAATGCCATGCATTTGTGCCTTTATATATGTATATGTATGTTTATACATGCACAAAATGCCACACATATGTGGATGCTTACATGCATATGTGTATGTTTTAGGGAGGCAGTGACTCTTCTGAAGAAAATGGAGACGGTGATAGTTCAGAGGAAGAGGGGGAAGAGGTAAGACCTTTTCTATTTCTTCCATGATAAGCCAGGCAACACAAACTAATTGCAATTTGGACTCAGCAAATAGCTGCTGCTGTCTTGCTGACTGCCCATAACCAGCTATTTTGGGCAGGCAGAATGCCATTTAAGTTAGAAGCAACTAAAACAACCTGCTTCAAACACCAGTGCAAAGTGGGGTTAAAGTTACCTAGATGTGGTACACAAAACAAAGGTGTCTGCATTTTAAGGGACCTGTAAAATCCATTAGAAAACAGCATGAAATTTATTTATATTGAATGCACATGACAGTAGACAAGAAAGAACTAATTCCAACCTTGGTGTGATGCAACTTCCTCAATGGGCAGGATGAAAAACCATCTGATAACTCTACAGTGGTGTCCTGACTTAATCTATAGAATGTGGTCAGTCTCTCTAATAACAATTTAATATGTTTTTATGTAATTGTTAGATTATAAAACTAAACACTCAAGATGTATAAACATCTTCCTAAACAGTTAAATTACTGAAATTAATGACTAAAATTCACTTATGTTGCTTAGAAATCATGATATTATGTTTATGACTGACATATTGCCTAAGGAAACATACTATTACGATCTGTTTTCCTGGATAGCCAATTATAGCTACTCCTGGCTTGGAAACCTTCTAAATTCAGGTATTCCTAGGTGGTATTTATGAATAGAAAATGACAGTCAAAAATGGAACATCCGTGTCAGCTATCCTGAAAGCAAAAGATGTGGCAACTTGAACGGTGACCAAGTATTAGTTTTTTTCTTTTGGTTAAGTGACATTTCCTGTGCTATAGTTATACTGACAGTGGAGGGAAGGTCTTAAAAATAATGTCAAGCCAGTACCAAAAACCACGTGTGCCTACATCCTTCAAAATCTTGCTATAGTTACACTCCCAAATTAAGGGAGACTCATTCATTTTACTATAGTTATTTTTTTTTGCCCAGCAATTGTAAAGTGGTCTTTGCAAATTCCAGTTACACAATGCATCTCTTGGCAGTAGTTCCTGGTTTGTTGTGGTGGAGGTGGTGGTTAATACAGAAGGATGAGCCCTCTGGCAAAGTAAGGCACAGTCACAACATTGCCAGCCACCTCTGAATATGCAGGCTCTCCCGTTTTTTCTGTTCAAATCCTCTAAGACCAAGAACCCTATGTTAAACTCTGTTTAAGGAAGAACTCTTCCATGCCTCCTGTTGTAACTCCTCACACACCCTAGCATAATTCTGTTGCATATATGAAGTCCAGTAAATAGTTCATGATTTGGTTTTGAATGCCAAAGGAATAGATGTTGCAAAGGTCATCCATTCACAGTAATCATAGAAAGGTGGGTGGGTAAGGAAATCTTTCAGCTGCAAGATTCTAGACATGTTTTCATCTTCATTTCTTCTTTAAAATGTAATTGATAGTTCCAGTTAGGTATACAAACCTTGGGTATTATATTCACATGAGGAAACTACTTGGGCACATTTTCTATTTGATGATAATAACCCACACACACCTTAAGTATTTCAGATTTGCTTAATCGAAACATACATGCTAACATTGTCAGCTCATTGAAATTTCAGAAACTTAAAATATAAGTAAAATCAGCACTAATATTTAAGACAGCATATATCTGATATTACATTAATCAACTCCTACCATGGAGTTAGGTTAACTCTCGCTTGTTTTTTAATACACAATGCTTTATGTATTTCATATATGCTATACATGCACATATTCTGTATATAGGATGACATAGTACCCATTCTTTTGTAAGAGGCTTTTGTTGTTCTGGCCTTCAGAGAGATTCTTCCATATTATCTTGTCCATACTGAGTGCCCAGGCTTCCTACCAGCATTTCACAACATCAACGTGTTACAATGCATGATTCCTCTGACAATGGCCATCTTGATAGGATTGCTATGAAGGTGGTGCTGCTGGGAACATTCTAGAACTTCTTCAAATGACTATACTCATTGATTAGGGAAGGCTATTTACTGCAAAAATGTAGTTTCTTAGTCAAAATGTGTGCACACGTTCAGTTTCACTAAAGGTATTCCAATGTAGGAGTAGTCAGGCAAAGTCCCATCCTGAGTGTACCAAGCCTGTACCACTCATACCCGTTCTTACCAAAGCTTGTTTATTTCATTTGTTTTGACTATTCTAGTGGGTTGTGGATATGGATAACTTTTCTATCTAATAAGGTATTTGAAGCCTAATATCCAGCAACAGCCCAACCCATTTCCTTTTTAATTTGTTTGCACAAGAACATTTTTGAATTAAGTTTCTGGGCCAAGAAAGGATCTAAGAGGAGGAATTGTGTCCATTAGGAGACGGACCACTCTTCAGTATTGACCCTGCCACCAATGAATTGTCATCCACTTGACTTTGTACAGGTCCACTGTAGGACTACACTCAGCTTTTTCATTAGTGAAGTGAGGATACGAGAGCCAACTAGCATGACCTCTTCGAATCTCTCCAATGATACTAATAATTTCTCCTTACACCACTAAAAAGTCTAATCTCTTTGAATGAATCATTTAAAAAAACTGTATATCACTCATGGTATATATCACTCATGGCACACCTAGTTTGGAAGGATGGGCTTGGGCTATATCAAATCCTTCACTGAAAACTATAGCATCCTCAAACTTAAAGAGAAAAATCCTGCTTTAGTCAATTTGTTTTCATAAAGATCAAACTGGGCTGGAGGGATAGCTCAGCCTTTAAAGGCTAGGCTCACAACCAAGGCCATAAGAAAGATCAAAGTTAGATTTAGCTTTTTTTCCTGAATCTTAACATTATCCTAACATCACAATATCCCAGAAATACCTTTCAAGTAGATTCAGCTGTCCAGTACTCGTAAGGAAGAACTTTATTTAAACACATAAATTTAAATATACGAAATCCAGACTTTACTAGTAGGTATTAATTATAATGATAGATTAGCTCAATATGCAAGCTATTATCTCAGAGCATAAATGAAAGAATAAAATGTTAAACATTATAATGCCAGATTTGTTCAAGTTTTAATTTTTAATCATCTTCATGTAATAGAATTATACAGCACTATAAATTTCTTATGCAGAAGAAACATTTGTGCACTAAATATCTAAAGCACAAAGACTGTTAAATTGCTAAAATAGAAATCATAGTCACTGAAGCATCCCACAAGTTGATAAATAGTCTTACATAACATTGAGTTCTTAGAAATAAGAAGGGAAATGGCATACAGGGAGGCAGTGATGGGCCAGCTGAGGGTATTTTCAAATAGTGCCTAACACACCCAACAAATCTTGAGTTCTAGTCCAGCTATAGTAAATTTTGAACTCTGGATATTTTCACCAGGAGACTTCAAATGAAGAGGAAAACAATGAAGAGTCCGAGGGGAATGAAGATGAGGAGGCAGAGGCTGAGAACACCACACTCTCTAGTGTAACAACTAGCTACGGAGCTGAGACCACAACTGGAACAGGAAATATAGGGCTAGCTGCGCTCCAGCTGCCCAAGAAGGTGATGAGTCCCAAACATTCATCTGCTTTCATCTCTGCTGACGTCTGAGTTTCCCTGACACTATTCACATCATATTTGATACCATCTTTACTTATATGATTTCCTCATTAAGGAAGCAAGAATAGATATGCTTTCCCTGATTACAAATAAGGAATGATATTCTGCAAATTTCCTCCCAAGCTGTTGTACCAACACACTTCAGAGGTGTCGCTTCCAAGGCAGAGAAAGTGGGGGACAGAGCTACGGATGCACGGTACCCAGGGTAGGCTTATAGGGTATAAACCCCAACCCCTCAAAACTCATTTAAAATATCTATTATGAGTTTTTAAGTCATCGCCAATTCTTACACAGCTTATCTTTTACTCAAAATACCATCCACAACATGGCCATCAGTAGAGCTCTTAGTTTTTCGTAACTAGAGTTGGATGACTTCAAACCTTGTCTTTTAGGCTGGAAATGCAGAAAGCAAGGCTGCAAAAAAGAAGGAAAGCGATGAAGAGGAAGAGGAAGAGGAAGAAAATGAAAATGAAGAAGCGGAAGTAGAAGAAAACGAGCAGGTCACCAACGGCACCAGCACGAACTCCACAGAGGTGTACGGTGGGAACGGCAGTAGCGGAGGATACAATGGAGAAGAAGGCGAGGAACAGAGCGTCACCGAAGCAGGTGTAGAAGGAACCACAGTGGGCAGGGAGCAGATCAGTGATGGCCCCACGACAGCAGTCCTTATGAATGGGTTTCAGTATACAACCCCACCACCTGAAGCCTATGGCACCACCTCCCCACCATTCAGAAAACCCACCACCGTTGAGTACTGGGGAGAATATGAACAAACGGGGAACAATGAGTACAATGGTGAGTATCAAATCTATGACAATGAGAATGGGGAGCCTCGTGGGGACAATTACCGAGCCTATGAGGATGAATACAGCTACTACAAGGGGCGTGGCTATGAAGGCTATGATGGCCAAGATTACTACTACCACCAGTGAAGCCCCACACCGCCGGGGAGGGGGGGAATTACCCATTCTGTCATTGCATCTGGCTACCATTTATTTTCAAAGTTCAACTCAGGAAGGTGCAATATATCAAATGTGCATTTTACAATGTTGAATGGTGCTACAGTCCCAGAGCGATTTCTGCAAATGCTTCTATTTGTAATGGCTTCTTTTTTATTTTCCCACATCTGTCACTTGAAAGGTCATTGTAAGTCAGGGCCATTGATCAAGCAGTTCACTAATGAGCTGGGGCTGGATGGAATGCTTTGAAATGGTAACTCTACAGTGTTTGCCCTATTGCTAACTGCCCAAACATACTCTTTGTACAAGATAGATCAAAGAGAGATTTAGAAACGACACTGTATACAATAATTGTGTATTCCTATATCATACCCACTATCCAATACTGTAGTAGGTTTAATTCTCATCCTCATGTATTTATATGGCCTGTATGCACGGGTTTTACCGTAAATAAACATGCAATTCTTCAAATGTGTTATAACTAAGAAGGAATGGGGACCATGGGAAAGCAGAGGGCTTTAAGGAGGGCTGTACAAGTCAGCTAAAAAGCAGGCTTATTTCCATCAGGGTTTAATACTCAGAGGATCTGAAAACCATCTCAGTGTTCTCTCCTCAATAAATCTGCATGACTAAGGTTTGACAATTGAGGGCAGAATCAGCTATATACACCAGGGAATAAAAACTTCTTAGAGTTGCCAGATTTAACAAGCATAGATCCATGGTGTGAAATGCCCACTTCAGTTTGAATTTCAGATAAACAATGATTGGTTTTTAATGCAAGTGTTCCCCCCCCCATGAATAATTAGTCTCTGTGAAATATCTGGAATAAACTTAACGCTGAATAAATGACATACTTTAATATTCAACTGTAAATGGGTGTCCTGTGTTTTTCTGGTAAGCTTTTCCCTACAAAACTTGCATACCATCATAGAACACTCACCCTCATGTGTGCATCCACGGTGGATGAACAGGGCACCTCTAGTGTTAGGTGCACTGCTGCAAAATATGCCTGTTCTATATCACAGTTTGCTTAGAATCAACCAGGTTTACGACTTGAATGCTGAACATTTCCAGAGCCAGGATCCTCTATCTTGCTATGTAGGCAGCTGGATATGGTACAGAGCTCTGAGGCAGTGGGTCTGGTCCTTCTGGGTCATTTACCCGCATAAGTCATTAACCCTCAGTCCCTATAACATGCAGCAGGCTGTTGCTCTGAGTGCGACACATCTAAGCCTAGGAATTCAGACCTGGCATGTCTCTTTAGAGGCTGGGCTTCAGCTTCAGAAGCCTCCGTCTGTTTTCTTTCCTGAACCTCATCTTCCACATTCTGCCTGCCTGTTGAGATGAGTTTTCTTCTTGGCTATAGATTTCCACTGACCCCTCTGTCCTTGGCGTCAGGGTATTTTTTGTTTGTTTGTTAAGTCATTTATTTTACATTTTTAAGCTACCAGGAAGCTAAATCAGCATTTTTATCAGACTTTCCAAAATAACCCAGGTAGTTTTCTGGTAAGTTGCATAATTACATGGGTTCCATCATACTCCACTCCTACTGACATGCAGATGCCCAGGGCTACATACTCTTAGACCTGTTAGGGTGTCATGGTTACCAAGCAACAGAATGATTTACAACAGACCCATAACGATGCTGAAACTGTGAGACTGACATACTCCATTTAGATGGATCCCACCAGCTGGGAGGCAGGCTCAAATGGAATTAGTTTGTTACTCATACAGAGATCACACAGGAGCAGCAATATGCCCGTTCTCGGTGTTCCTAGCATTACAAGACAATACTAAACCAGAGACGACAAGTGACAGAGGGTAGGACATTCTGCTATTGAAGAGCTGGCTCTAATCAGAGTTGAGCAGATGGGCTTGCACAGATAAAGGTGGGGTCTGAATGAGTCCACCAGACCCAAGATAAATGATAAGTAGGTATTTATTAGGGAAGGACTTACACAGATAAGAGTAAATAACTGCTGCAGGCTTTCTGCTCCAGAAGATGCAGTCTCTGCCCTTCCAATGCTCTCCACAACCCAAGCGAGCACGAGCCAGCCCCTCCTCTACCTTATAATGGGTCACATCTGTACCTGAAACCATGCCCAAAGGTATGGCCACCACTACAAGTTCATTGGCAAGGCAAGAGGCCACTACATACAGAGGTTGTAGTTGAATGCTGAGGAGATAATGTTGAAAGATTTTTATTCAACTAAGGGAAAGGCATGTTGGCAGCCAGGGCAGGCAGGGCAGGCAGGGCAGGGCAAGCAGACAGGGCAGACAAGCAGGGCAGGCAGGCAGGCTGTGAGCTGTTGACCTGAGAATATTGATTGATAGGACCACAAAGCAGCTGCTTCTAAAGTCCAACTCTGCGCCCTCTCTGTGGCTGCCCCCTGTCTCTCAGCTAATTTCCAGTCTTTCGGAGCTCCATCCATCCACATTTCAGTCAAGTGGTCTACCTGCCAAACATGATAGAACCCAGGTTTACACTTTGGAGAACACAAAACATTTCTCTATGGTTTAGTTTACTGTTGCAATACAAGCTTTACATCTATATCTTCCCAGGACAATACTGATTTCAATCATGCTTTCCTTTTATAATATTTCCCTCTGCAGAACTTTAACTCTGATTTTTTAAGAATCATAATTTTTTGTTTGTTTGTTTTTCGAGACAGAGTTTCTCTGTGTAGCTTTGACTGTCCTGGAACCTGCTCTGTAGAACAGGCTTTTAATGCAGGTTTTGAGAGTTTTATTCACCATTAAAGAGAGAGACATGGCCAGGATTTCATTTTGGATTTTTTTCTGCTAAAACATTTGTCATTAATCTAAGTGACTCTTTGGATGATGATGAGAAGACACAGAGAAGTATGAGGAAGGTTAAAAACATTAGACATGCTTTTTCAGAAAAGAAACTCTAAAGTCAAGAATTATGGGTCTTATTTTAAGAAACAGAATGAAATTTTATTAAAAATAAACCATAAAATAATCACGTAGATCTTTTATTTATCCAAAAATAATGTCATATTTTTACCTTTAGGGTTTTAAAATATTTCCTGACTTAAGGTCATTGATTTGTTAATTAAATAATAAAAAGTTCTCATGCAAATTAATTTTTGTTATATTATATCCTTTTTTCATTGGGCTTCTACCCTTAATGTCATGATTCCAAACATCCAGGAAGAGAAGTGATCTAATAACATGTATATATCTTGCTTATTTTTTTCTGGAATAATATAAATTCTATCATAAATTTTTGAGTCAAGCTTTGTTCATTTTCTATAAAGCCAAAGTCTGCAGTTTTTTCTGTAATGAGCCAGATAACAAATATTTTGGCCACGTAACTAGGAGCCACATGGTTTCTCTCTCACTGTGCTGAAGGCAGCCCTTGGCTGTGTGGTACAGAAGAGCAGCAACAGGACTTTGTTTGTGAAAACAGGCAATGTGTCAAATGTGGCACGGACTACAATTTGCCAACCTTCATTTTAGATAAGCCAAACCGTAAGGATCATTTTTAAGAACTGATGCACGTCTAGTCATTTAGGCTATCAACAAACTATGAGTAAACACATTTTTGTTCCCTCCATTTTTTTATTTCCTCTTTCAATTTGAAACTTTTTTATCTTCATTTCAAACTTTACTTAAAATTGCAAAATTTTTGATTTTTTTAGTGGAAATCTGTGAATTGTCTCTGGAAGTTTCTGGATATAATTATATTAACTTATATAAATAAATTATTTAAAAATAATTTTCCCATCCTTTGAAATTCTGTAGATCACTATCTGCATGGAAAAATCTTGACCTTGACTGTAGCAACAGGAGTATCATGTAAAATCAACAGTAAGACATAAACCATGACTCAAGTCTGAAAGACAGGGCTGTCATCAAAGTCAGTACTCCAACCATCTTTAGATTAACCTTGCATGAATGGCAGACACCTGAATTGCCTACCAGGTCTTAAACTGGACACCCTGTATTCTCCTGAAATGGCTATAACACAAACTCCCCTTTTACACGCTCTTCTACAGAGTGATACTAACAGCCCACAGTCAAGCTGTGGGGTCTACTCATGCACCCCACTCATCCTGGCCAGCTTGACCGATATGCAAATGTGACTCAACAACAGCTGTAGTCCACCAACAGCCTGGCAGTCCTTCTCTCTGCTCTTGAGACTTGAGGTTCTCTGGCAGGAACAGAGGGTCTTCTGAGAGAGGACAAAATGTAATTTTCATGGAACTCAGTCTAGCTAAAGAGTTTTCAGCCCAGGGTATTTTGTGTCTTCGTAAGAAATAGCAAATGTGAATCTTTTCTTTCAAAAATCATAAAACTTGTGTTTAGGATATGGAAGTCAAATCTTTTTACCTCCCCCACCTCAAGATTGTATGTAAATGTTTGAGTCCCCTTCCCACCCAGTGAAACCACTGTTTACACAAAGGCTTATTGCTGAGTTCCAGGAATTTGGTGGCAGGGAGCTGTGATCCTTTACTCCCCAGAACACCTGACCCTTTCCTTCCTTCACTTCCAGACTAGCCAATTAAATTAACACTGTGAGGCAGACCCCAGCCAATGGAGAGAAAACACAGGCACTGCCTGAGTTAGAGTAACAACCCAATACACTATGTGTGTTCACTCTTCCAAGTACTCTTCCAAGTACACCCTCTTGATCAAGAAAGAGTAAGTGCACCTTGTGTGGATGGATACCTCAGCCGGAGTCGTGGCCTTTTTTTTTTTTTTTTTTTTTTTTTTTGGTATGTTTCTAAATCTCTGAGTCACAGCCAAGGAAGCTCAGCTTATTTTGCCAGAGAGCAAGCTCATCTTGGATGTTCAGCTGGGTGAGTCTGCAGGCAGCATCTACACCTACTCCTGTGTTTTCCTGCATGAGACAGCAAGTGAAAACCTAGGCTAAGCAGCGCCAGCGCAGATACCCCTGAAAGAAATTAATGTCTTCTTTCAAGATAAGTTTTGAAATAATGTTATAATAAAGCACGTGGGAGACTTCGGCAGATTCCATGTTGGGAGAGGGGCAACCACACCAGGCAGACAGAGCTTAAGTGAGAAGTTTTATTAGAAACGGAAGTTGGAGGGAAGGAAAGAGAAGAGAGGTAAAGAGACACAGACACAGAGACAGAGACAGAGAGAGGACAGAAGAGACGAGGGAGACAGGAAAATTCCTGTCTGCTCCAGGGGAATAGTAAAAACGCAGAAGTGAGGTGGGGTGCGGTGCTTTTAAAGGGTCCTTTGCACGGGCGTGCAGGTAGTGATATAGCAACTATGGAACCCTGGGCTGACCAGGGCACTGCCTGAGTGCATTGTGCCGGGTGACCCGGGCAGGCCAGCATAATGCCTGAAACCTTACAGATAATTGTGTTAAATGGCAATAGTTAACTAGAACAGGAACTGACAGAATGACTCTGGATCCACTGGAGTTAAGAACGTCATTAGAGGAAAGCTAAACTAACCCAATGCAGACAAACATAAGCTTAAAAGATAGAGGAAACTATATATGCCCCAGTATAGTAAGCAAATATTAATGTGTCCACCACTTAGAGAGTAGCTGGTAAATGTCACATTCTGCCTCCGTGGTCTCAGAGAACAGCAAACCTCTGGAAGGAGCACTATTTTTAGAACAAGCAGTGTTTTCCCCTTGAGGTCACACAACAGAGCTTTGTAGTCATTTCCAGTACTGCTAACATGTCCTGAAGGAAAGGCTAGTATCATCATAATTACATTTTAACTACAGCCTCCGAGTCGTCATCTTAAGTTGTAATAAAACTTCCTCCTAATATAAAAATAAAGGCAAATTATATTGACATAGCCTCTCTTTGCAAGTAATAGCCGAAAGGGTACGTGGTTTGGAGAAAGGAACACAGCTAGTTTCA